GACCATTTAGGCATTTTTCCAAGTAGAAAATATTACTCCAGAAGCCCAGGCATAACTTGTGATTTAGGAGAGTTACGCCTGGCTGTTGCAGAATCAAAATAAATATCCATACATCGTTTGTTTGACACGGCACAGGTACGGCTTTTCTGCACCATTTCACCGTGTCTGGTTGCGTCTCAATTAGAAACTGAGTTGTGCTTTAAGCAGCGGTAAGACAAAAGCTAGATGGCTGTAAATAGCATTACAGCTTTCAGTCTTAAACCTCATGTTCATGACTTTAAGACGTTAAAATAAGGATCATCAGGATTATTATTAGTAAAGTAATATTGTTTTAAATAAAAATAATTGTTTTTATACATGTGTGGTGCATCATCCCTGCCAAGTCTTCTCTGAAGTGGTTTTTCCTATATGCTTTAGAACTGATGTTATTAGACCAAATTACCTAAAGGTGATATTTCTCCAATTTTAAACAATTGTAACAATTTTGTACAAGAGAAAGCAATCCCAGGGAGATTTCAGCAGTGGAGTTTTAAGACCAACACATGTTCCATTTATTCAGAAATTTATGGTGGTATTTGGAATTGCACATTCATTTGAATTACACAAAATGAAAACTGAATTCAGACTGAATTATGCAAAACGAAGTCTGCAACAGGGGCTGCAATGAGAAAAATTTGGTCTCACTGGGTGACAGATCCTCTAACACAGTTCCAGCATAGTTTGACTCTGCATAGATAAGCAAGTTCTGGCTCTGTTGTACAGTAGTTGGCAGACAAGCCTATTATAATACCTTTTATCAATGTAGTAAGTTCTGCAAAGTGAAGAGGATACAATCCTCAGAGAATGTAGAGGAAAACTTTTATGAAGTTACATTTAGGACAAAAGCTGATAATTGTGTCTTATGTACAGAAAGTTTCTCTGAAATGTTTTTTCTCATAATATTTTTTTTTCCTGTTGTGTATCTGGATAATTTTTTTTTGTTTTGTTAAAGCCTCTGTACAATGGAAAATCAAAAGTGCTTCTCAGAAGGACTCTGCAAAAGAACTGAGTTTGGATGTTCAAAATTACCTTCTGCAGTGGCATATTCTTTAATTTATAGGGTCTTATTTGAGGATAATATTAACTAGGACTTTTCTGGTTTTCTGATTTTTATGTTTAATAAGACCTCATGTACAATTTTCATAAAAGTATGTTTGTAGGGGAAAGGATAAAGCAGTAAGTCTTTCAAATTTACTAGAGACATGGTTTGCAGAATTGTTGCAGGTTTGCCGCTGTTCAGTTGCCATGGTCATCGCAAGCTATGCATCTGTCAGCGTTATTCGTCACAAACAGATTTCTGTTTGCTGGTGGGGCCGCCTCTCTTTTCTCTGTAATCTGAATTGTCTCCTTTATCTCTTGTAGCAGACTGATAATGGTTTAGTTCTTTCCACCTTGCCTCATAGTGTGTGTATCTAGATACGTTTTTGCTGAATGTGCCTGAGGGCAATGTGTTTGTGAAAATTTTAGTCAGTCTTCTGCTTTTATAAGATGTACGTATGAACATTCTGTTCATTCTGTTACATATGTTTTAGCTACAGAAGTATGTATTTATGGAGTGTCTCAGAAAAGTTTCTTTCATGTCATAACTCCAAAGCTAAATCTACTATCCAAGAGAAAAATCTAGAGATGCACCCATAGTCCTGTAACATGTCCGTCCACTCACTTGCAAAATTCGTGCTCCGTAACTGAAGGGAATAAAACATTTATGCAACATGTAGTTGTAGAAGACGGGCAGTCAGTAACCTAATAGATATTTGAAATGCAACTTAGTCCACCTCTGACTGTTGTCGCATGTTTTTTTCCCAGCCAGGAAATGACACTTGTTTTTCTTGTACTATTTGGTGATCAGTTTTTTTTTTTTTCCTCCAAGCTTTTTTCTTTTCTGTCAAGTTTCTGTAGAGACACTCTATTACGCTTGGTTCTCTAGTTTAGCTTTCAGGCTGTTTCTTATAAATTGGAGGTTTTAAAGGGATTTACCAAACAACATAGTTGATATTTATGATACAGACATCGCTTTCCAAAATTGACTGAGATAATCCACATTTTCCATAAAAAAATTGTTGTTGCAGAATATGAAATTTCCAGGGAAGTTTGGATGAAGATCTTTATATTCTATAAGGAATATAAACCAAAAAATTTCAGTTCTTTGTTGGGTAGAAAGCCATTTAAATTTTAACTGGGGAAGAGCTGAGAGACTGGCTAGTTGTTGACTGCCAACAGCCTTGCTGACATTTCTGTTTGAAATACTGCCTGCACTTCAGTTAGAGGCAGCCTGTTGATACAGCCCAAGAAGTTTGTAATGGTGGGTCTTAGGTTCTTGTCATTAAGTAGCATATACTTGTCATGAACTTCAGTGCCTAGTACCATGTTCTTTAAAGGAAGGTATTTTTAGTAAAACTTGCATTAACCAACAGCTCTTGTAGTTAAGAGAAATAAGCAAGCTTAAAGTACTTTCAGTAGAACGAAGACAACGTGTGAGAAAGTTTTGGCAATTTCCGTAGAGACAAATACTAAATCCATTGTGCAAAAGATTTTTCTAGTAACTCAGCTGGGTACAATAGGTTGTCAGATTTCAGAGTTGTCTCTAGCCTTCAAGGGGCAGTCTCTAGACTTCATGTTCTAAAGCACACTGAAAGTAAGAGTGACATCTCCTTTATACTGCACAGTGGGTTCAGCAGGCACACAGGCAAAGAAATTTTACAGTTTCAAAGAAGAGGGAAATACACAGCAATTAAGAAGGATTTTTCTTTAATCTGATGAATTGAGGTGTTCTTGATATTTGATATTACCAATGAAAAGTATGTGCAAATTTTAGTCCATTCACTGTGTACTTGCGAATTCTCATCTTCTGTGACTAGCAAAATAGAGCCATAAAACTGTCCTTTTATTGCAAGTTAATGTGTGGGAAATCTCTGTTACAGTGTACTGTTTAAATATTTCAGATGGAAATTGACACAGCACTGAGTGATCTGGAAGCAGCTGACTTTGCAGAGCTGGTAAACATTTTATTTTTGTCATTTGCATTGCACGGTATCTCTTCGCCTTGGTATCATATTCAGTAGTTCATAAAAGCACTAATTCCAAACTCATCCACTTTTTTAAATCAAGTGGGAGTCAAAGCAAAGGTACACTGTAATATTCTTGTTTTAAGATAGCCCAGTTTACTCACTCTGTTGGTCTTGAATTTCCCTCCATGGTTAGGATTATAACCATATCACAATCCTATAGGATTAGTCACAGAAAACCCATCATTTACTATAATTTAAGTCCATGAGATGTCTACAAGGACACTCTAATTTCAAGATAGATGATAGTTGTTACGTTTCTTTTTTCGTATAGATAACTGTCTCCTTCTTAAGCATTGTGAGTAAACCTGAAAGCTGCTGTGGAGCATTGAGAACTTAATTTTCCAGTTTAGAGAAAGCAATTCCAAGTTATACATAATACTGTTAAAGGAGAAGACAGTAATTTACTGAAGTGTCACTTGCTGTGCATGCTCTTTCCTGTGCTGCACAGGACAGGGAGGTGTAAACATACTGAAATTTCAGGTTTACTTAATAATGAAAGAGCTTTCTTAAACTCATGTTCCAGAACAGTTATTTTAAAATTACATTATTTTTAGATATATTATAATTGATCATAAAGATAACTTGTTTGATCACATATTTAGCATAACAATTTGGGACATATGTGTTATTAATTACAAAAGATACTCAATGATTCTTAAAACCTAAAATACAAGGTAGGCAGACATATAGTCCATCTTGCAAAAGAGTAAAAAAAAAGAATCGCTGTACTAAACAACCTGGATGATTATTTACAGAAAGCAGTGTTTATAAGTTGTTATTTATTGCACAGAAATTGATTGCACCCACTTAATTTAAAATACACTATATCCACCTAAAGATAGTGTTTCTAATCTGAGAGCATGGGGCATCTGAATTAAAAGATCAGTGAATGGGTATATTTTGTGTAAAAAGTCAAATACTGAAAAAAAAAATGCTTTGACTTGGAAGTTTTACTCTAGGAGGGCCTCTGGTGTCAGCTGTTACGCTTCAGCTACTTTGCTGTTAAGAACTCGGAGAATTAGCATATCCTAACAAAAATAGTTTATAGATAGATATGAACTAAAGAGGAAATCTGTTATTTTGAGCTGAAAATTGTTAGAGAAAATCATAGTGACACGAAAATCAGTAATGGAGGCTGAAAACTTGTTATTTCACCAAAATGTTCAGTATCAACTGCTGTACAGATAAGAAGTGGTCAAAAATTTCAAGTATTAAACAAGATATTGATTACAATTGACTGGAATTAGTTGACTTGCATTTGGTAAATAAAAAAAAAAAATCTGAATTAAAAATTATACCATGCTTTTTTTTTTTTCCACAGTCTGAAGATTATTACGACATGAGAAGATTATATATGATTATGGGCTCTTGTCTCTTCTACAAGGTAGTACTAGTGATTAAGACCAAAAGATTAGGGAAATACATCTGGAAATCTAACCCAGTCATGGAGTAACTCTTTTCAAAACCTCACAAACATGAAGAAACGTATGATTGCTTGAAACGTGTATTTCTAGTAACAGACCTAAAACTCAAATAGCATAAGAGAAAAAAATCCATGTCAGGAACTGATGTGTACTATATGATCAGAAAGAACAAAATACTTGTTTGAAACTCTCTCATGGGAATTTTGCAGTGTATGATCCAAGGATTGAAGAGACAGAGTAATACGAGTCAATACAAATGAAACTGTATTATATTCTAACATAAATTCTTGTGTTCATTGCCATTTTCTTATAGAGAACAAGTGTTCTATTGTTAGTCTGTCTTTAAATCAAAGAATTGAGAAATTGGATTGACATCTTTTTCACTTTAGCCTCACTTGTAAATTTATTTATCTTCATTAAATGTAGACAGTGTATTAAACAGTCTAAAGAAAGAGGAATTAAACAGCCTTTGCTTTAAGGAAACTTAAAGGATTTTAAGGATTTTGTCATGCAATTGTTCTTTACGCTGGTAGTGTTAGGAGACTAAACTGTTAGCACAAATGGAACTACAAAGTATCCACCATGACACTGCTTCACCTGTAATGCCCTTAGTGCTGGAAACACTGTCGAGCATCTTCTTTGGAAATTTTATTAATTCCAGTGAAAGCTCACTCTTTTTGGTAGGCAGGAAATGAGAATTAAAGCTCTTTACGTCTGTAGCTGTTGTGCAAGCTGTTAAAGCCATGGATTTCTCAGCTCACCTTTGATAACTTGCATGTATTTGTTTACATTTCAGTGTTTTGATTCTTCAGATGTGGTGCAAAAGCTCAGTGTTATCTGTTGTACACCTGCATACCAAAAAGGCAGTCTGGCAAAAGCTTACAATCTCAATGCATGTGGAGCACGGATGTCTCTAGATGAAAAGTACTCTTAAGTGATAAGTGGTGGTGTTCTGTTTGTTACTGAATACACTTCCTTTTCTGTGTTTAATTAAGGGTTACTTGATTGGCAATCACTTGCCAAAGGAAGATCTTATTGATCTAGGTTTATATTGTCGGCACTATTGTCTGTTACCCTTGGCAGCAGAACAGAAGATTGGTCAGTTAGTGATATGGCGGGAAGTATTTCCACACCATCATATCCAGCCATGTGAGGCTTCAAGTTTTACAGGATACAGGGAACCTGAAGCAAGATACTTCTTAATGATAGTTGGCTTGGTAAGTTAACGTTTCCAGTGTGCTCTCTCTCTGGTGCTCTGTTTTGCTGTTGTGTGTTGTCTATTGTTAAGATCAAAACTTCCCATGCATTTTATTTAGTCATTTTACAAAACATTCGTATGATAGCTGTTTCATGGGATAGAATTTCTCAGACAGCAGCATTATTTATACATTTGTAAAGCTTGCAAGTTTAAGTATAAATTCACGTTATTTTTATGCCTTTTCACTTCAGTTGAAGATCTTTTTACTGTCATGATCCTGTATTTTCAGACAACTCATTTCAGAAAAGTGGGGGGGTTTTAAATGTGGATTTCTTTAAAGCAAGCAATGAGGATGTAAATGATAGCTTGATTAACTTAAATAACATATGTCCTTGGGAAAAAATAAATAACTCCTCTGAAGATGAGGGAGGAGTGTTGAATATAGTGCTGTATTTTGCCTAAGTATCGTATGAGAGAGAAATATAACACAGCACATACTGTATATTAAACCAAAGGCTGATGTTGCTACCTCCATGTTTACAGAGACACTTTATGCTGTGTGTGCTGCTAGAGGCAGGAGGCTGTGCATCAAAGGCTATTGGGAATCCAGGACCAGACTGTATATATGTAGATCAGGTCAAAGCCACTATACTTCAACTGGAAGGAATAGAAGCCAGCATAGAGGAAAGGCTAGATTCTCCTTCCATTCCACCTCTGTCTTGTGCTGACTGGTTCCTTCCTGCAACACGTGACAAACTGGAGAGCTTGACCACCTCGCCCATCCTAAGCAAGCTACAAAATACTTCAAAATCAGTAACCACTCCAGTGAGCAAAAGGACTCTGTTTGGTGACTCCTCCTTAATGACACGTAAGCCGAGCCCTGCGAGAAACAGTGGAGGACCTGAGCACGGTAACGAAGCTCCTGCGGAAGATGAAAGCAGTAATCCCCAATCTGTAGTGGATCAGGTCTGAGAACAAAGACAAAGAGATTGATGATGTTCCAGTGGGCTTGGGGGAGGTGACAATTCCTTTAAAAACTCACTCAAGTAACTTTTTTTTAAAAAAGCGTACTGTAAAAGAATAAATGTAAGAGCCCCTGAATTCAGTAGAAAATACTTCTGTGGCCTGGAAAAGCTTTGGGTCAGCCTCAGAGCAATCACATATTTTTATTTTATCATTGCTTGTAAATATTTGGCTTTTTCGAATAACTAAAGTGGACACAGCTGCATTGGAATCAGAAATAATTGGAGATTATCCCTAAAATAATAATGGTGTAAACATAAGTTACCAGAACAAATTGCTGTACTGTTGTACAACTGCTTGTAACCCATTTTAGTCTAAAATAGGCTATAAAATACATTCATATAAGTTGCTGCAACTGTTTGGACCTTTGAAAAACATGCTACATTATTTTCTTCTATGTAGGTGATTTCTTGGTTTGATTCTGTTCTTTTGTCGGCTGTTTTTTCTCTGTTAGTTTACCCATCTGCTTGTTTTTCAGGCCACTAGGAAAAAACATACCCTACCAAATCCATTTCAGTTAGGAAACCTCAAAAAGAACCTTTCAGAGAAAGATACAGAACTTCTTAATGCTGTCAAGTAAGAAGTTATTTTTTATTAAGTATTTCATTTTTAAGGCCATACTTGGATCGTTTGTTGAATATGCACAGATCACAGAAGTTCCTGCATAATTTTATTCTAACCAAAATTTTGCTATGCAAGGATTCTCAAAAGTGAAGCTCTTAAACGGAGAGCTTAATTAGAAAAGATGACTGAATATGTCAGTGAATGTATGCACATGTCCCACATATATGTGACCTTAGCAGTTCAAATAAAAGAGTTTTTGGACCTCACGTACCTTGTGCCTCCCTGGTATCTCTGGGTAGGTGGACAAAGGATGAAGAAGCCATGATCTTCCCAGTTCCCACTTGTGGCTTGTGACAGCACAGTCTGCTCTGGTGTTATGTTTGAGCTCTAAAGAAAGCTTTCCCTTCCCCTGCCCCTGCAAAGCTTTTACTTGCTCTTTCCTTTTTCTTTTTTTGATGAGAATTTTTGAGAACACAAGTGCAATACCTAACTAGTACCATAGTTTTTGAGTTCGCTTTTTTTTATATTGAGTATAAACTGTCCAAATTAGCAGGATTTCCTTGGCATAGAAATAGGCACCTTTTGAATGTCTGTATCCATTTTTGTGCTCGAAACAATTCTGTCTTAAGAAACAGAAGTCTATGTTGTTTAACTGAAATTTCTTTCAAAATTATTTTAATATTAAATGAATTCTTGTTTTTTTTAAGGTTGACATCTGGTCCTGAGAATACTCTCTTCCACTATCTGTGTTTGGAAACGATGCAAGGAATCTTTATTACTCCAACTCACAAAGAAGTAGCACAGCTCGGTGGCTCCATCCACCCTCAGTTAATTGAGAATTTCTATCGTTGCTGCCTTTCAATTCGTTCCATTTTTCAGCAGTCCATGAGGAAAGAAGTATGGAAGCTTTGTTTTCTGTTTTTCTATTTACATTCTCAGCTCAGTATTTCAAGATTGTTTTCACTTCATTATTTAAATAGCTCACTAGCAGGTGTATTTGCACGTGCATGGTTGTTTTGAAAGCTCCTGATATTTTTACTGTTACAGGCAGGTTCTTCTCTGACCATCCAGCCAAGTATGCGTGCAATTATGGCTCTCTTTCCCACCAAAAATGCCCTCAAAATAAATACTCCATGTCTCCAATATAGTGTTTTCTTACTCTGTTTTGTATTAGGACTCTTATTTGTTAATTTAGCAAAAATTTTCATGCCCTGAGTTCAAGAACTGTAAGTAGCAAAAGATGGGGGGGGACAGTTTTAGCCATTTGAATGCTGAGGGGATTTCAGATTGGCAGCAAAAGGAAATTTAGGTCCTCTATTTTCACAGCAAATGTTTCCTATGAGCCGTGACAGTGCGGCCTCCCCTCACTGTGTTGTCTGTATGTTTGAACAAGGACCTGAAGAAGGCCTCTGACGGTGAGAGGGTCGTTCATTCTCAGTGTCTTTGCTCTCTGTGCTGCCCAAGGTGCTTACACGTTTGCCATCCACTAATGTCTCTAATCATTGGTTTGCATGGATGTCTGTCTAGAAGAAGACTGGCTATGATGATCGATTCCTTTTAATTATGCTGCCAGCTCTTTTGCATTTTAGATTACGAATCCATCTGTAAAGATACCAGTTCAAGCCTTGCTCTAGACTTGGGCTGAAGCCTGATCCCAGCTGCCAGAGCTTCACATGGGTACTTGGTGTTTAGATTAGACTTAAAAATGGACAGATTAGATGTCAGCAACTGTACTGCCTTGTGTTTGATTAAGAATTTCTGTTTACTCCAGATGGATCATGGCAGTGGTAATGCAGAAATCTAAACAATAGTTACAAGAATCAATTTATGAGATGCTCCATTCAGATCAGACATTTTGTGTTCATTGCACTTTATTTTGCTAAAAGTCTGGTTTGTTAATTGCACAGTGGATTTTTATTGATCTGAACCAGATTAGGATAACATTTCGTCTCTGCTAATTTTGTGGCCTGGTTTAGTCCTTTGGAAAAGAGAAATAATTAACTATAAATCTAAGTGGAATACTGTCTATCAGTTGCATTTTAGATCCTGAAGTGACAATCCAAGTGCATTAAATGAGAAATGGGAAATAACAGTATAAACTGAATGAACGCAGTTTGCAAATAGCAGTATAATTTTTCTTCATGTTTTCTTGAAGTTACCGAAGCAGTCGCAACCGGTTAGACCAGTGTGCCTTGTAAATGATCTAGGAATTTTTACATGTTAGAAAAATAGGTTAGTTTGGTGGATTGTTCTGTGGACTTCCTATGACACTGAGGTTTGGCTGAGTAGGACGTCGGCAATGAGTGATGTATTTTGAGTGTTTCTATTGGGAGATGTAGGAACCCAAAAGCAAGCAGAGAGAATACACAAATATTTCTTGTCATCAAATTGCCTTCGGTTACAACTGTTAAATAGACAGTTTATAGTTCAAACCAAAAAAAAAACTGAATAAAGAAATCACTCAACCTTAGGTGTAGCTCATAAAAAGTGAAAAACTCACGCTTGAAAGTCAAAACTTCTGTTTTGGTCACAGCTACCTCAGCACATGATTTTCTGGCTTCTTCAGACGTGAGTACACGAGCCAGCAGCTGGGTTCACTCTGCTCTGAAAATCAGAAACGATTAATGAACACGTGCTGCAGAACAAAGTTCCTCTTTTAGAGTAAATCTGGGGTAGTTTTTGCATGTTGGCTCCAACAATTAATGCTGAAATTGGCAGGCTGCATTATGGCATGAGGAAAATATAAAAGAATGAATAGTAGAAGTTTTCTGGGTTCATAGTTCACAACCAAAAAGTAAAATACAGAAATGTACTATTATACTGCTTGTTCTTTGACATCAACTGAATATTGTTACAGTTTAGGATTCAGAGAATTGCACCAATCATGCAAAACTATTGTAAACTGATGAATAATTAATTTTGCCTCACTTTTTGAGAATTGAAAATTCAAAATTCAACTACTAAATGTGTACAGAAATATTGAATAAATTTTAAATTGAGCAAAAATAAGCTCTGTAGTTTTAAACCCTAAAATATGTGTCACTGTATGTAATAAGCAGCCTTGGCCTCATTTTCTTCATCATCATCATCTTAGTATTTTCTTACTCTTAAATCAGAAGGAAAAAAGGTTAATGCATATGGAAGTACAGACTTTTATTGTTCTATCAAATATCCCCTCTTAATACATAATTTTTCTTGAGTATTTTCAGTAGTGTAAGATGTGCTAAAATATAAACACGTGTCAGCTTGGAAATTACATAGTAACAACCTCACTTTTTTGGTGGGGAAGATTATTAGACTGAGTAGTAACATATTCTTTGAGTCTTTTTCAGTAGCAGTATTAACAAGAACAGGGTTTGAAACAATTTTGTGTACTAAGGAAATAAAGGAAAGGTTAAGTCATCTATTGTGAAATTTCTTTCACTCTATGAACTAGTAGTAATTTAGAATATGCTTTATGAATTTAATCCAAAGCATGCTTAGGGAAACTTAAAAAATGTTTTCTCAGGCAAATATTAGCCATTTTGTTTCTCAAATGCTAAGGTGCATTTCACTTTCTTCTACCATTTTTGAGAAAATAAGATAGTTGTGATGTTTTGACCATCTTTTCTCTTTTAGTTCTTCAGCCCCCACATCTTCAATACTGTATGCAGATTGAAAGATGTGGTTTCTGTTTCTGCATATGGCAGACAGAAGTTCCTTGAGATTTTTTTCAAGAAAACCTTTTCTTTCACCTTTGAAGCAACTGATAGGAACAGAAGTTTCATTGGCAGATCCAGAGATGCCCTGGCTTAGCAACTGTCTTAAGGCAGATTTGTTTCAAAGTGGTTTCCACTCCTGTTTCCATAATCTCATCTCACTTCTTATGCTTCAAAATTTAAAAAAAAAAAAATAAAGCTTTTTTTTTATTATTAGGCAGACGTTAGAAAAGAGTAGTAAACTTCTTTTGACTTCAGTGGGAGAAGAGTTAAACTAGTGACAAATCCTTTCAGAATTCCTCCTGTGTTTATCTCCATGTCCATTCTGGTCTTCTTCCCCTTGCATTTCTGCTGAAAGATACCATGGCATTATTGGACTAAAGGGAGTGTCAAGCACCAAAACAGAGCAAAGAGAGAAAAGCAGGTTTTGTGCGTGCAGTTTGATGCTCACCGAACAGGTACCAGGAGTTCAGTTAGAAACAACTGGAACTTTTGCAAGGTTTATTCAAAAGCTCTGTAGAAAACATAGCCCTAAAAACTCAACAAAACACAGAAAAAGTCTTTATTTTCTACACATCTTATGCAGTCATACTGAGTAAGATCAAGAAAATGCTCTGAGCAAAGTGCTTCAACTGTTTATTTACAAAAAGAAATTCCTGCCTGGCAAGTTTATTCAATAGGCTTTTACTATCACAGTTCTTAATTAGAGAAGGACACAGAGAAAGAAAGATGAGAGCTGTAGCTGTTGTAACACACTTTTTAAAAGAAGCGGTATTATCTCAGATGTCTTACTAGAGAAATAGTGTTCAGCTAGAAGAAAGGGGAGGAGGGAATCAAAAAGGGAGCATGTGTCTACCCCCAGGTTGTATAACAATGGAAAAGCCTGTTGATGCCAAAGTAACAAAACCATGGAGAAAAGAATCATATAAGCACTTTCGTTATATCTTCTAAGTCTGGCTTTTTGATAGCAGTATCATTCATCAGATTTCTGAAGAAATCACACAGTTGTATTTGCTAGTGTTTATGTAAAAATATTTCATTCTCTACTAACATTTCACCAATTGTTTTACAGAAAAAGAAGAAAGCAGGCAGTGGGATTTCAGAATTTAGCACAGCAACGGAGGACGTAGATCTTATAACAGAACACGGAGTTTTGTTTGAGTGCGCTCCTGACAACTGGACTGATCAGAAGAAACCACCACCAACAATGAATTACTGGGTTGTGGGGTGAGTTTACCAACACACGAATGTATTTCTCCCAAAGTTTTCCATTTTGAATGTGCCGCTGTACTCTTTCAGAATAAGTTTAAGTGTAGCACATCACAGAAATACTTGAGTTGACTGAGGTGGCTTTGATTTGGGATCTGAGAAGCTGCATTGGTGTCACGTTCCACCTGCTGTAAAACACAGATGTGCTCATTCAGGTGAGCACTGTGCCAGCACGTTAGTACCACCAAGCTGGCACCCTTCGCCGTGCCGCACTGTGCCGTGCACACGTGCTGAAGTGCTCTAATCATAATCTTAGTATCCCGTGCTTTCTCGTGTGCTCCTCACGCTCCTCCTGACCTCTCCGTTCCCTGCTTTGCAAGTAAATCCCACCTGTCTTGCCTCCATGCGTAATGCTGATTCAGTGATGCAAAGAAGTAAGGTGAACAATCGTAGTGGTTGGTTGTTTTTCATGGGGAAGATGAAATCAACCTACCAGTCTATTTGAGATATTTTGGAAAGGGAGCTTCCTTTCCTCAGTTTGCTGTCAAAGTTCTGCCGTTACCATTGTAAAGGGATTGTGATTTGGTTTGTTATTTAAACTTAATTTGAAGTTATTTTCTTAATGATGCCTATAGTTATTACTACATAGCTAAGCCTTATTTGCGTGACAGAACAGCATACTACCCTAGGCATGAAATACTAAGAATAATACATTTTTTGAAGCAATTAAAATTAAGTGTAATGAAAAGGTAGTATATATCATTTTTTCACAGTTCAGAACACATCATCTTGTAATTGTTTAAGTCTAGGCCAGTAAGCCCTGTTCTGTAGCCACTACTTTTCCTGTGTTATTCTTTCCTCCATCTACTATATTTTGTGCTGCCTACATTTTAGCTGCAGCACGCAGACAGTTGCATTAGTCAGTCAACAGGATGTTTCCTTCTTTTCTACATTTATCTTTTGTATTTAGTATTCCTACTAGACAAACAGAAAAAAAAAATGCAGATGCCCAGTTAAATGGAAGGTAAACTTTCACCATATGAAAAACAAATTCAGTATAGGCAAGGGGTGAAAGGAAGATAAATTATTATGTCTGGCTAATTCATGAAGTTACAATTTTAAACTAGTTCATCTATTGCGCAAATAGGAAAGTCAGAAAACAGCAAAAAACGTTTCTGAATATGGCATAAGAACTTTTTTCTGATACAACGAGAGGAAACGTCATCCACAGGTAGTTATATTGGCCAGAAATTCTCTAAAAGAGCTTTTGTTCAACTGGTTTGCCTTCAAGTCAAATGTTTAAAGACAAAAAAGAAAAACAATTGTTTCCCACCATGAATGTACATAATTGCAGTTTGTGTGACATCCTTAGGGTTGGATAAATTAAAATCTTTAAATTAAACATTTACAAATGTTTACACTGCTGTTGATATCTTTTAAAAAATATTTTTTTCAGTCTATCATCAAACAATGTGTTAAATCAGGGGCAGTCCATTAGTATTTGCAGAGCTATATGTGATGCTATAATGCTACACACAGTCATGCAGAGGTATTAAAACCTTTCCTATTTTAGTTCTTTCCCAAAAAAAGAGCTTATTAGATTGACATGTGGGAATGCACCTACCCAGATGTATTAAGGTTAAAAATCAGTAAATATGTGAATACTGGGGCTTGCTCCCAAGTACCTTGATTGCAGCTTGTAGCCTGGAGGCTTGGATTACTGCAAACACACCAGTGCCATACAAATAGATCCTAAAAACCTGAAGAATTTTTCCATACACAGCCATGAGAAAACTGAGCAGAGAGTAACTTGATTTAAGAATCTAATGTATTGAAAGAAGTAAGATGATGCAGGAGAGCCACAGAAGTTTGCTAGCTGTCTTACACAGCAGTTGTTTTTAACATCTTACTGCAACTTCAGAGTACAAGCAGAATATATCAAACAGTTGAGGAGAAAAAGCCAACACCTATGGTAATTTTCCTTTTTTTTTTTCCCCTTTCTTTTTTTTCCAGGAGACTTATTCTACATCCAAAACCTCAGGAGTGTTATGTCTGTTTTCATGACTCAGTCACGGAAGCTGCTGTTGAACTGGCCTTTAAACTGTCCTTCGGCTTAGTGACGTAGATGAGCCTCCTGAACATTGAGCCATCCTGCATGGTGTTGGCATCTCTTTGAAGTACTTCAGGATGCAGAGAAATTAACTCAGTTGCGGTGCCCACCCATGGCTTATCTTTGAAATGCTTTTAAAAAAAAAAATTACCTTGTGATATGACACAGGTAAAACTTCAGTGATGATTCTAATGACGTCATCAATTGAATACTTAAAAAGATTTCAGAGAAACAAAGTTCTTATTTTTATACTGTTGAATTACTTGTCCTGATCATAACTTTATTACATGAAAACTTCATTTAATTTGTACATTCACGGCTGTTCCGTGTGTAATCTGCAATGCAAAATGACAAACGGATATCCTCAAAGTACTCTCTGAGTATCTGGCAATTGGTGATGGAGGGGAAAAAAAGTTTCCCAATTAATTAAAATTTTGGGCCTCTAAGGGCATGAAAAATTCTGCATGTTTTCACTAACATTGTGTTAACCAAAACAGAAGGAAATCTTGTAGCCAGTTCATGGCATTTAGCCGCACAAAACTAATGCCTTATCAGTTTTGCCAGTAAGGTCTCCTGCACACTCTAGGACTGGAGTGTGGTTGATGTTTTACTTGACTTCATGAGTTTTAACTACAAATAGTACTTATATTTGTTAAAACACAATTTTGAAGGCATAAAAGAAGATGGGGAAGGCAGGGGGGTGATGGTTTTAAGACCTATGCATGAACTCAGCTTATATTATATTCATAATTTCATAATAAAAATGTTTATTTGTCAAAGACTTGTAAAGTGTTAATCTCTTTCTTTTTACTTAATGTATTTTCTGTTTATTTAAACAATATTTGTTTAGCTTCTATAATTTACAGGTAGATGTTACAAAAAATGCCAGGTTACATCTGTATAGATGTATATCTTGCAAGTAGAGGCAAGATCTTTGCAAAATCAGAATTTTTCTACCAAATTCAGCTTTCCTACAAATTGTTAAAATGTTTTTAATCTACAGACCAGCTTCTCCAAAAGCTTTTTTTTTTACTAAAGTTTAGTTTAAAATGAAAGATTTCTGGGGGTCTTTTTACCCACAGCCAGCACATTTATATTTGGTCATCTGCATCGCGTTTCATCATCTTCTGTAGTTCCTTTTTTTTTTTTTTCTCTTTCTGCTGTTTCTACTTGCATTTCACGAGTGCTTTTCATAAAATGCATGACCAAAGTTGCATTTTAAACAATGCAATCAAAAAGTTTTAAGTATTCAGGAAAGTAAATTCAGTTCCATAGGCTCTCATGATCACATCTTTAGATGTTGTTTTCACTAGTGAATTACACTGTTTAGAGTAGTTCTAAAATAGTAAATCAAATGCTTATAACTGCCTACTGTCACAGAGCGATTCACAGCTTGTCTCGAATCACTCAACAGTTACTTTAATTCCAAGCAGTAGAAGTCTTAGGCCTGAAGTTTAAGCATATGATTGCAGGTTTGTTATCATCTGTCTCTAGAATTTATGGTTCCTGGAAGATGAGAGGCAGTATTTCACTTTGAGACATACAAAACTGAGTTCTATCAATAGTGCTTTAGATTTGTTCCCCATCTGTAAATCAAGTGATGTGAGCTTCACTCTGTTTGAAAAATAAAAATATGTAGTAGCACAGGTGACATCTGAGCACCACCTTTTAAAAGTCTAAAATGTGTGGGGTTTGAACATGAGCTTTTGTTGTAATGGAAGAAGGAACACAGAAAAGCAAGCAGTCTTTGCTGCACTGTTTTTAGCAGGTTTAATAGCTTTTACAGAACCTGTACGTGTGTGTGTGCACATAACTGTGTATCTGTATGGAAAAGGGTAATTTTGCTAATGTTTGTCTGTTTCAATCTTTTAAAGGCTGGGCTGTATGGTTTGAATGCTGAGAAAGCAGATACTTGAGTGCTTTAAAAAGAGGACAGCTAATTTTTATCCAGATCCTTGTGTTTAGTCAGAAGTAGGTTACTCTGCTGCCAGTGGAGTGGGTTAAATTTGGTTGCCTCAGCTGGGCCAAAGAAAACAGTGTAAATGTGTGTGGAGAAAAGAGGAACTGGAGGAAGGTGGGACTCCCTCAGTACCAGTCAGCTATTTAAATTGTCTTCCTTCTTCACAAGAACCATATCTTAAACAGAATTAAGGGCATCCGAGTATGGTACACCTTTTGTACTCAAAGCAGTTTATTTCAGCAACAAAACATTGCAAAATTTGCATTAACTGTGTTGATACTACACTTCAGGAGATTTTTACTGGTTGCTTTGTTAGTCAGCTAAGCAGAGGCTGTATCTTGCAGTTTTTTAACAGTATGTTTAAAAACAGCCCCAAAGGATGACAGGATTTCATTTCTTACAGATGACAGATTTTTATCAGTTATCTTTAATACAAATCTTGTAGCTTTGTAATTTTCAGGAAGGTTATGGCTGTGAATTGGCGTAGAGAATTAATGTTAAAAGGAATAGATACAGAGAAGCTAGTAAAGGAGTTAAAATGGTAATGACAAGGCTCAAAAGAAATTAATTCCTCTTGCCTGGAAATTATTACAAATAAAAACTATTAGCAAAGCAATCTGGTGCACAACAAATCAATGGAGTACCAGGGTTGAAATTAATCTCAAGGGAATGTAAGAAGCAAAAGTCAGCATTTAAAACCATCCACAATTAAAACATTTTGACTGAACAAATGTGGTGTTTCATGCCTTCACTAGTCAGAAAGTCAGGAGATGTAGGGGAGGTAAAGCAAGTAAAGAAAAAAAAAATGCTGTCAGCTATCTAGAAGGAATTGGTACTTCTGGCCTGGAGTACTTCCGTACTCTGGTATGGAATGGCTATAAATAATGTGACTACAATTCCTTCACTTATCATGTGTGATATGTATTAACTCCTAATTCAGTACAATCAACAACTACCCTTCACTACCTGGTGTTTTATTCCCTAGTCGCAGCAGAGGGGCCGGTTCCAGCAGCTGACGGGAGCCTCCGGAAGGTTCTGGAGGTCTCTGGAAGGCGCTCACTGCAGGATCCGCATGGCGGAAGGAAATGGCGCCATGTCTGGGCCCGGCCGCCCCTCACAGCCACTAACAGGGGAAGACGGAGGCAGCTCAGCGCGGCTCCTGAGACCATCGGCTTCCAACTCGTGAGGTGAGGGCAGCTGCTCGGGTGCCCACCGACCGCGTGAAGGCGAGGAAACGGCAGCGGGGCGGTGCCAGGAGCCATGGCGGCCCCACAGGGCAGGGAGCTCTTCGACCCCGTTTCCTTCGGGAAGGACCTGCTGGCCGGCGGCGTGGCGGCCGCCATCTCCAAGACAGCGGTGGCGCCCACTGAGAGGGTGAAGCTGCTGCTGCAAGTGCAGGCGTCGTCCAGGCAGATCCAGGCGGACCGGCAGTACAAGGGCATGGCAGACTGCTTCGTGCGCATCCCCCGGGAGCAAGGTAGGCACCTCCATCCCCGTCCCTGTGCCCTCTCTCTCTCAAACGTTGTGAAACAAAAGCTTTTAGGAACGCCTTTGGACGGACAGCGATGGGCTCCGTGGCGGGCTGCGGGCGTTCAGAGGAGTACGGTACTGGCAGAGGTGTCGAGGAAGGGGTTACTCTGGGTACGTCCTCACAGGTTTTTTTTGGTTTGTTTGATGAGTAGCAAAATCATGCTCATGTTGGCATTTGAGGATAGCGTAAAACACCTTTAAAGTTTTCCTTTTGGTAGTTTTACAGAAGCAACGTTTATTTGGCATCCTCGTGTTAATGTATAGGAAAGCATGATCAAAATAAGACATGAAAATGCAGTTTTGATCTTTCTTTAAGGACTTTCTGTCTTTATCCAGCACAAGAAAATTAAGAAGTTTGAATGAAGAGCACAGCTCTGCATTAGAGAGATCACTTTGTTGTCCCTGCTTAGAAAGGTCTGACATGCCCAACCAGCCCAACCTGTGTGAACATCCTCACATGCGTTTTTATCTCATAATCCATGTAAGATTTGCTCCTGCACTACCTCCACAGCTCCATTTAGCTTCCTACGCATTTATCTTAGTGTCCAAAGGGATCCTTTCTTTAATTTAGAAGAATATAATTACAAAAGTGCTGCCAAGTTCTGATACCTGTAAAAGCCGGTCATCACTGCTTTAATACGGAGTGTGAGCACCCCCTACGGAAGCGAAAATGCCTAGGCAGGCTACTTCAGGAAAACAATTTCTGCACAGTTCTGTGAAATATTCTTCTATTCTGCAATTTCCGGACTGCAGTTTAAGTAAGTATCCTTAGTCTTAGAAACGTATGAAGTAAGGAAGTTGAAAATCTTACCTATTTCTCAGCATTATTGGTGTTTCACTTGCAGTTTTAAATTTTCTTGTGCTAACACCAAATGCATACATCTGTTGGTATCAGAATAAATCCAGATTTCCAATACCAAATGCCTGCAAAACAAAGGACATGAAAAGGAATGTTTTTGGCCTTTGTTATAGCTCATACCAAAGTAGAAACAATAGAAGGAATACTGTATAATATACTCAGTGTAGTAAAAACTTTAGAAATGTTCTTTAGAAGATCCATTTCTTTTTCCCTAGGATTTCTCAACTTTTGGCGTGGCAATTTGGCAAATGTTACACAATATTTCCCAACACAGGCTCTAAATTTTGCTTTTAAGGACAAATACAAACAGATTTTCATGTCCAAAGTGGATAAAGAAAAACAGGTAAATAATCTTTTGCTTATTAGTTCTCTTTAATAAACAAACTAGATCTGGCCAAGAGCTTTGCACTTCTTTCTCTCAGCATGGTTGGTAATTAGTGGTGGTATATTGATAAGATTTTGTAATGAGCATATTTTACAACAAGAGCAACAGTGAGCATGGCTTACTGTGTAGCTTATTGCTGAAGGTAATGAAATCTGTTTTTTGATCTTTAATGAGTAATAACTTTGTGAGACGCATGTCAATCTGTCAGCAACTGCAGTCAGAACTTTCAAAGTTTTGTTCAGGATGTAATTATTTTGAAGTTAACTGATGTGCAAGTATTAAAATGGATATTAAAAATCTTGGACTCACACCTATGTTTCTTGGCTTCGTCAAAAACCTCAGTCACATTCTTACAGTTAAGACTGCATTAACCTGTACTCTAGTCTCAAAAACCTTTATGTTTGTGGTTTCACTCATGTGAAATTACAGCTGCCTTTATTCTGATACGTGAGGTTCTTGGGTTGTGCCCCTCAAACAGGAGTCTCTCATTTTAAGTTTTTTCACATTGTTTTCTTGATAATCGTTAGTATATAAGAGTCAGAAAAAAACTTAGAGATAGTAAAGTGCATATTACTGCTGTAGATTAGTAACACTTCACGCTAAAAACTTGTTTCTTCCTACATGTAGAGCTAGAAACATACTTACAAACAGTTAAAGCATTTTAAGAACTTAGTTTTGTACAGTGTGCCAGAAGAGGAACAGTTTTAAGTTATAGCTCAAAAAGGCAATTAAACTTTTGGGCTATGCTGCCTTACCTTGCAATTCTGTGTACTTGGGAAAAGTCCCTTAACTTGGATAGATTCTTGAAAGACACAGAAGTCTGCACCCATGGAATTCATTGCAAGAAATCTTGGTCTTGGAATGCGAAATGTTGATATTGGCATTTGACAAATTACATAAAAATCATTCATAGCAGCAGAATGGAAAATAAGTTCTTTGTATCTAATTTGTTTCATGTAAAAATAGCTGGAAAATGGGCTTTATTTGTGTCTGTCTTAGGTTATCTGTTGTGGGATTTCTTTGTGTAGGTTTTGATAATTTAAACAAAAATTCAGTGTTCTGTGCTTTCTCTTATTGACAGTTTTTTCCTGCAGTGCCAGAAAACTTTCTTGCCACAGGCCTTTCTGGTGGTGCTGACCAGGAGGAATGCTGTCAGTCATTAAAGTTTGATTAATTTCCTTGTATTGCATGCAAATTCTTAAGCAGTCCTTTTTCAATTACAGTCATTTTGTATGTAAAGAGTTTAAGGTTGCTGTTTTCTTTCTTTTCTTACAGTGGAAAAAAGTAAAACATCATGATGTAAATACCACAGTGTTTACAGTTCATCAAGTCTCCTTTCCGTCCCCTAAAAGTGTTTCCAGATGGCTTACATGTGTGTGAGCTTGTGACTCAAATTTTAGAAACATTCCATGAATAGCACTCAAGATTAATTTCTTTAGAAGTATAGTATTTAGCAAAGTAGCATATCCGTTGTTGAACCTCAAGGCCTTTGGATGCTTTCTTAGATGTTTTGTGCGGGATCAGAAATGAGGAAGACAATATGGTTACATGCATTAGTTTTAGCTTAGCTGGATTACCTTTAAAAAAGAAATAACAATTACTGAAACCTTTAGATCGTGGGAAGTAAAGTGCAAAGGAACTTCCATTAAAGAAGACGGGCTATATATACGTGCCAGACACTTGGTATTGAAGGATAACACTGGCATAGTCAAGCATCTTCATGTTGCAGCTGCCCCCTCTTCTGCTTGCTACTGCAACTAGCAACAGTTCATGCAGCAACATGAGCTAGGGCAGCCTGCAGAGCCTTCTGTACAGCTAATTAAATATTAGGGCACTTAAGCTATGCTGGCCTCCATACTACAGCTGCCGTGTTGCTGTGACTGAGCCCGCAAATAAAAAGGGATTTTGGGTACATCCACATGGTCTGCATTTACTACACAAGATGTACCTTTGATGCTGTTTAAATCAACAGAGCTGTGTCAGATATGATCACCTAAAAATGTTGTGGAAAATGTTTCTTCTACTGTGATCAGCTTTTTCTTATTTGGTAAACAGTATGGACCACAGTGAAAGTCAGTGCTTTGATGTTTATGTTTCCCCGTTCCCCCATCATGGAGAGTCGATGCACAATTGTTGTACCAGGGAGATCCACAGACCAGTTGTTATGGAGGACTGGGTGATTACAGATAAGAAAGATGATGTCTGCTATCTGTGTCACACAAGAGCACCATATAATTCAGAAGCTGAAGAAGAAAATAGCTTATAAATATTTTTAAATGAATGTAAGAATAGCTAGGAAAGCTTCACAAGTAGAAATCTTGAAATACTCCAGTATAGGTCTTACTCTGAGACTGGTATGTTTCTTTATTATTTTGTAAATAATACAATGCTTTACATAGATCTTACTCTTCACTTAAATTAGCTTCATTTAGTATCTACAACACAGGTCAGTATTATAGTATTGTAATACTGTATTTTCGTAACTGCATACAGTAATTTTTGTGTTTCAGTTCTAGAAATGGTTTTCGGCAAACTCGGCAGCTGGCGGAGCAGCAGGAGCAACATCCCTGTGTGTAGTGTACCCGTTAGACTTCGCACGAACTCGTTTAGCTGCTGATTTTGGGAAAGGTAGTGAAATCTCTGAAATGGCAGTTCCAGTTTTGTCTGATGTGCCTCAGGTTGTTTATATTGACTTCATTTCAGAGGTAGACCAATATTCAACAGTATTAGAATTCTTTCTATTACTTAAAAATTTACCATTGCACAATTACAAACTTAGAAGTAAAATGTAAGATCCTCATTGGAAAGGAGAAGATGAAGATGAAGAAATAGTGCCACAGCATAGCTCTCAAAGTTTTGCATTATTTTTAGATTCTGTATGGTAAAGTTTAACTGAATTTTGTCAATTTCGGATGCCAGAAACTAGAGGAGTTTAATTTTTGCTAACCTACGGTTTTATGGGGTGTCACGTAAAGAGCTGAAGACTATCCTTGTTCTATATCAAGATTTTTCAACAAAGATTTTGGGTGTTGTATGTCCTTAGATGTATGTTTTATTCATTCAAACAGATAATGCTAATTTCCTGGAAACAGAAGGCCTTGCAGCAGAGAGGAAGAAAATCTCTGCTTTCTGTATTGTTGTCGGCTTTCATCATTTGCCTGTAACGGGACAAGTTAACTCTATTTACTGTCAGTGCTGTGCAGGCTTGACCCAGGAAATGGCTGCTTGACTTCACCTCTTGCCTTCTGTGCCTTGTATTTGGGCCAAATTAATATTTTCATGATACCTTCAGTAGAAGAAGGTGTGCAGTTTGAAGTTCTTCTTTCAAAGATCAGTTTATTGCTTGCCATGTTTCCACTGTAGAGAGTATTAAGAGCTTGGATGTAGTTACCTGTGGAATGTGGAAATAGACAAAGAATCTACAGATAAAAAAGTGGATTTTTTTAACTTTGTCACAGCTTGTGGCTGGTGTTCCACTATAGGGAAAAGCTGAAATGAGTAACACTAAATTTGATTAAGAATGTGTGGGGAGGAAGTGAAAGCATGATATTACGTAGAAAAAATTCTTTTCAGAGAGAGGGTAAGAGAATTCATACATAAGCATTCTGCTGAATGAGGACAATATTGGAATGGTAGTTATTTCACCTGAAAGTGTTTCAGCTACTGGATGCCACTGTCTCTTTGAACATGAGCAAACTGTCTTCATCCATCCACGTGTCTCAATTCTTTTCTTTATGCTTCTTTCCTAAGTGGAGAAATAATGATCTACAACATTTTTCATATACTTTTGATAACGTTAACTGTTTCAGTCATGCAGAATAGTTTGTACTACAGAGAAGGGCTTCTGTAAAGCATAACAATGTGCATAAATATGTCTTCTATCAGGTGCTGGCGAGCGGCAGTTCCAGGGACTTGCCGACTGCATCATAAAAATTGCAAAGACAGATGGACTTGGCGGCCTGTACCAGGGGTTTGGTGTTTCAGTGCAGGGAATCATTGCATACCAAGCCTCCTACTTTTGATGTTAGGACACCATTAAGGTAGCTTTTACAAACAAAAATGCACACTTGAAAAATCTTTATAATGATATTTTAAATATTTATTATGAATTAATGAGAGTGTTAGTTACAGCTTTTGTCTTCACAGTTATTTGTGCTCAACAGAGTATACCAGTGAAGAGCCAAGTCATTGTACAGGAGGATTAACAACAGAAATGATCAAAATTAAAAATTATACTTAGTATCTGCTGGATTTGACTCACATTTTAGAGAATTTGTACAGGCTTCCATTTTTCTTTTGTTTTGCAGGGATTATTGCCAAATCCAAAGCAAACTCCGTTCATTCTTTCCTTTTTCATTGCTCAACTTGTGACTACATTCTCAGGAATGCTGTTTTATCCTTTTGACACTGTCAGGAGACGCGTGATGATGCAGGTATAGTCTAGCTTGCAATCCTTTTCTGAAAATTGCTTACTAGATTTTTGAAGTTTGATGTGCTAATTGAAGCGTGTAGCCGTACAGGAGGTGAGACTCTATTCAGGAAAAAAGTGGAAACATCTCCAGAAAGACAAGAAGAAAAATGAAATTATAGTATTGTGGGAGCCTGGTAAAAGTTCACAGCTTGGTGAAAGCTTTTAGTAGAAAAACAGGATCTGGGTTTTTTTCCTACTCAGAAGCCAGACTTTGGAGTAAGAGAGGTTTGTGGGTAGAATAATATCCTTTATTAGCCCAGCTAATGCAGTTAGAAAAGTAGTCTTTGTGGCACACAGCTATTCTTGTGTGAAGTAGAGTCAGTAATCTTCAAAGCTCAGTACATGCTGAGAATTACTGCTCGGCTTGTGAAGGGTATGGTCGTGTATTATCAGCAATTAATGTAGAATCTTGTTGCTAGCTATTAGGTAATTTCACTAGGTAGTTCAGGAGCATTTGAACTACGTTTAATAATAGAAATTCTTGCTATGAAGATCATCCTCCAACAGGAAGTAAGAAATGCTCTTGAAAAATTAGGACCTTGTTCCCCCCATCCTGAGGAAGTTTTGCCATCGGACAATAGAAAGGAGTTGTTAGTTCCAAAGAAGTGTCTCTACATTCTGTGTCAAGGTTATCTTCTTTTCACTCGATATTCCAGAAAGTAAAAAAAAGATTCAGAATAAATGTTGGCGCAGAACTTAGGTGCTTTCAAAACACCAGGGAATACTTAGATTGTCAGGTAATGCCTGCATACTTGTGGAAGTCTGTCCTAATAACAGAAACCTTGACGCACACAGTGGGCAAACACCATTAGCACTACTGACTTCTTCCTTCCAGACTAAATATGATTTCGCTGTCTTCAGGTTCTGCTTTGGCTGCTGAATCAGCAGTAGGCCTACAGTTAATGCTGTCTTTATTCCTAAGTACTGCACTTCTTGAGGCCTTACCAAAGAATTGCCTGGACTTATGGGAATTAACTTACCACTAGGATAGAGAATAGTACCAGGATTATTAAAACCATAAACTATAATCCTATGAAATAAGATAATAGGTATGCTAGCACAAAAGATGAGAATGAGAGGACGTGTATATGTTATTCGTTTATGTAGTTTTGAAGCCTCAGGTACAAATAAAGCCGATTAGTAAGATTTTTTTATCAATTTCTTATCCTGATGCGTATTCTAATCTAGGAGGAAACCCTGAATTAAATATAGCACCTTTTATTTCTTCAGTTACAAGTATATTTGCCAGATAGGATAACTTTCTGAAATAATGAGCACAGTGCAGTTACTGCTTTCAGTAAAACTTGATTTCTGTCAGCTAAACAGTAATAACTATTACCAAATATGCTTTCATTTGCATAGATTCATGTTGATTCAAACCAAAGTATTTTAAATGCTCTTTAGCTATGTTACTATGCTTATTTGTATTCATTTATGTGAATATTTATCATAGATAAATTTCCTGCATTTATGATTACATTCGAGAAATCTGTAATGATCTCATACGTTGATTCCTAACAGAAGATGAAACAAAACGCAACACTGTCTTCTTCAAACTTCCCTTTATTAGCTGCAGAGTGTATCACAAAGGCTAAAACAGGCAAGATTATCTTTCTGCCATTATAGAGAGTCCAGAACCGTACCTTGATATTTCAAGTGGATTTAACTTCAGATGTAGCTAATTGAAGTCCAATCTTCAACATTAAGCAAAAGAACTAGTGTCTTCTTTCCAGCAGAATTTCATGTAAAGATAGGGATTTTGGATTAATCTCTCCAAAAAACAGTGTACTTGGTTTTGTTAGTGAAGACAAAAACCACTGTCAGTTCCTAACACAGTCCTCAAATCCCAAAGAGGCTGCAGTTCCAAAACAGGAATTGTTTGACAGTTCACCAAGCATATCTACAAAAAATCGCTTTGTCAGAGCTGTGGTGTTACTCAGAGTATCTGAGAAATTTGCTGTCATCATTACACCGAGTTCTACAGTGGGCAAGAGCATTTCCTAAGTGCTCTGTTGTGCAGAGAACAGCTACACAACGTTCCTCTGGGCTGTCTCGCCTCTGCTACTGAAATTTTCAAAACTTGAAGTTGCTGGCATGATTTTCAGTCAGCTGTGCTTGGAAAAAGGTGAAGGGAGAGTTCCGGACTTTAGCTCTGACTTGTACAGAACGGTCATATGTGTGCATGTGAACATTCACTGCTTGTCACCCTGTATTTCTGCCCCTGTAAGCACTTGAAGCAAGTTTCAGTGAACGTGGTGCTGAGGTCTCTAACTAACAAATGCTCCTTTTTGCTTTGTTTTTGTTTGTCAAGCAAATTCATGCTCAGAAACAAGGTGGGCTAGGTGAAAACTGGACTGTGCTCCTTCTTAGCCCTCCTATTTTTCCGTGTTACCATGCTAGTCAAGACCTTAACATTTTTAGACTCCTTTTGGAAAACAGATAGCTGCTGGATGGACTCTATTGATTACTAATGAACTGAAATCTAATTGGTATAAAAATGTTCTGGTGGTACTAAAGAAGGAAAAAAATGAGCTGTGGAAGTTTTAATACCATTGAAACAATTCAGAGCACCCTTAGGACTGGAGTGACCTCATTTAATTCCTAAGCCTTCTGCTTGCCCAGTAAAGCTTAAAAGAAGCATCAGAAGAAGGATCACAGCCTTTCTAAATTTAGCTATTGGAACCAGCTAACAGAGCATTACATCAGATAAATATTTCTTAGTTAAAAGATGACTCCTTTGCAGTAAGTGAAACATGAAGAAGAAGTTCCTTAGTGTTCTTCAGTAAAGACAGACAAATTTTGGTAGGCATTTAAGTTTCCTTCTCAGCGCGGTGCAGGAATGATGTGTCCTTATTACTTCTGTGCAAAGTGGAGAGACCAAACGTCAATATAAGGGAACCGTTGACTGCTTTATGAGAATATACAAGCGAGAGGGGCTTAGTGCTTTCTTCCGTGGAGCATTCTCCAACATCCTCCGTGGAACAGGAGCAGCCTTAGTGCTTGTTCTTTACAACAAAATTAAGGACATTCTTAACATCAACGTTTCCAAGAGTTCAGGATCTGAGTAAAGCAGTGAGTGAGCATCTGTTTTGTTCGTACAGTGTTCACGATAGAATTCTCATTGTTTGCATAGCTAATTTTTAGTTTAAATGTTATACAAACAATACTTTTAAGAAATTATTTGGATGTTTTTTGTGACTAAGCATGTACTGAATTAAATAATTTGTTTTCAGGGAACTAAAGAGCACTGATTTAATTTCATTCAATAAATTAATCTAAGAAAATACTTGCCTCTTGCTTAAAATCCTCAATGTTTCTGGTTTATTCAAACTAAATGTGGCACATCTTTAATTTTAAATTATGGCATGTACTTGAATGTGTTTTGATAACAGCAGTTTCCCTAGTCCGTCAGCAGAGCCCGTTGTATGTGTCCGCACCAGCCTGCTACAGCTTCTACACGAACCACAGTAAAAACAAAGCCTGTTTCTACCTTGTTGATGTGTTTTTCATGGTATTTTAAAGCATAAGTCAAGACCGAAAAGGAGTTTATGTTTTGGGGTTTTTTTTCAATTGGCTTTAAGAAATACAGCAATTGACTTTTCTCTCTGTCCCATCCCTCAAACAGCATGGAGAAGACTGTAGTCCACCTGGCAGCATCTTAAGCCAAAACATAGCCCAAAAATGTAGAGGTCAAAGCACCTAGAGGCTTAGAACACCTAACATGTTATTTCTTGAGGAAATGTAAAATGGCTGAGGGTTCTCCTCAGTATTGAGGATAAATCTTACAGTGTATATAAATGAGGAGATGTGTATTTTTATTTCTGAGGTAATAATTTTCAATAGGGAAAGGCAAAAGAAACCAAACTCTGTGGAATATTGATAACTTAAGGACTCAGGAAAGCATTTAGGAGGCTTTATTTGAATGTTTGGTTTCAAAGAAATTAAGGCTAGCCGCGTTCCTGACGTTTCTCCACAACCATTAAGTTTCACACAAAACCCTTAGAAACTTGAGTCAGTACAACACAGTACAAGTATGTTTTTAGCTGCTGAAACATCAGATGTGATCCACAGGCCAAGAATTGGAAAGACTCGGACAACGCCGATTCCAAGATTGCTACACTGACAGTAGATGACTGGGGGGGATACGCTCAGGCAAGTTTGTGGCTAATCTGACTTGAGTGAAGTTTGCTCACACTCGCAGACGGGGCAATCGGAATGGCACTGAAGCATGCACACGAGACTTTTATGAAATACTTGAAGAGTTTGGCGTGTCCTGCTTATGATACTATCTCCAACTCGTAACAGTCTTATTCTTGACAAAGCAAATAACAAGTCCATTGGCACTTTTCTTGTCACTGTCATGAATGTCTGCACACGTCTGCATTTCCAACTGCAGCTGGAAACCATCTGGCTCGGCTGCCAGAAACACCACCGCGGCGGCAGCACAAAGCTGTGTATGGGCTGATTTCTCCCTATGATGTAAGCCCTCTCAGCACTTCTGCAGTGACTGCTGCAAGGTTGCACAACTGCTTCTGGGCCTGGCTTAATGATGTTGCACAGCTACACAAGAGCATTTGCATATCATCTGGTGGCCCAAGGTTTCCTTTCAGCCAGGAGTGAGCCTTGGGTGGTGCTGCAGAAGCGGGATGCTGCAATACCTTGAATCACCGAGAACTGGTTTTGTAACAGGGATTGAAGCAGCAGAGCAGAAACCTGAGTTAGGATTTGTCTCCCTGGCTACTGCAGATGGGACTGGACCTGGTTTGCCTTTCTGATCCTAATACTAGCAAGGAAAATGAGGTGGTTAATTGCTTGTACTAAAACGTAGTAGTTGTGTTACAAATAACACTAACAGCAGCTTCTTTTGCTTCTGGAGGGTTTTTTTAGAGGGAAAAGGCATCTGTCATCTTCACTAGCAAAATTCTAGTTTTGAAGCAGACAATAACAAATGGACAGAGAATCAAAACTCTTGATAGGGATGTGAATCTAGTTTAGTGGTTTAGCACTTATTTTAGTCTCTCCAGAGGAAAAAAACTGTGCATTGTGGTATCACATGCAGTGTCAGAAAGACATCATATTGTTGTGTGAAATGGAGATGGCATTTCCAGAAGCAAATAAATACTGATGGAGCTTTTCCAGCCTGTAGGTATGTTTTGTAGAGTTTCAGTCCTCCATACTTAAAATGACACTCATAGAAAATGGGGTAACTGCAGTAGAGACATCTTTTTTCTAGGAAAAAAAATCACAAAGATGAGGGCACTTCCGGAATACGTAGGTACAAACTGGGGGCAGCTCTTCTGTGCCCGTTGGTGGTGGAAGGCAGAAAGACGGGACTTGAAGGTCCAAAGCCTCTGCCCATCCCTGGCACCAGGAGCGATCCCCACTTTTGCTTCAGACACAAACACCTGCGTTTCATTTTTTGGTGTCTAACTTGACTTTCCGATCCCAGGCTAACCCCGTGCCTCGGGATTCCGGGGCTTTCCTGAGCTGCCCCGCCATTCACCTCCAGGAACTCGGGAGTCTTTGCCCC